AAAATGTTTATTTCGGAAACAGTGGCCGTGCTTTCAGTCGCATTGGCCCAGAATAAGGAAGAAACGGTAAATACTATTTTTATTTGCAATATTCATCTCTCTCTCTCTCTCTCTCTCTCTCTCTCTCCTTATTCCTTATCACTAAAAATCACTAATAAAAACAGATCTTAAAATAACAACAATAAAAGTGATATCCCTTTTCATGATATATCATAACATTTAAAATACTTAATAGTATTTTCGTATTTCTGCGATACAGTAATACAGTATATTTGTAGCAAATAATGATAGCATAAAAGACTGATCACAAAACTGCAAAAAACAGTTTAATGAACTCACAAATTAAATTTTTTCCGTAAAGTTTTTGAATTTAATCTGATGTTTGTGTGACATAACGGTATACATAATGCATATGAAAATGCATTTATTTTGAGCTCTCATTATAAGACTATTTGGAGAAATAAATCTGGTTTTTAGAAGTTTAGTACAACTATATGGAAGAGAAAAATGTATATATAATACACTATTTTATATATGAAACGAGTGGTCAATAATCACTACTGGAAAATGGTTTGAAATTGAAAATCACTTTTTTAATAGCTTTGAACCATTTGTTTGGGAATTGTATGCAAAAACTGTTTTCTCGTATATGAGTTTAAATTACGGCTAAATTATTCTGTGCTTTGCTTTTGAATTAGTAATAAGGTATTATATTATTAAATATACTGTTATATATACTACGGTTGGAATAAACAATAAAAACAATCAGTTTTGAAGTTTCTAGAACTGGGTATTCATTTAATAAAAAAGTGTATAATATAATAATAATCATAATATAAATAGAAAATATATATTTAGAGATATAAAAAATCAAAACTTTAAATAAGAGTTTGAGGTTATTATTCAGTTTTGAAGCGAAGAAAAAGTTTTTAAAAATAAATAAAACATCAGAAGAAGAAGAAGAAAATCGTATTCATTCGCTATATAAATACATAACAGCATTGCATACGTATATACAGGTATATAAGCGTTGCAAACATTTCATCAAACTTTGCCTTAAATGTAAAAATAAAGTTTGTTTATAATATGCATAACAGATGTATGAATTGTGGCAATAGTTAGCTTATAGAATAGGGACACGTCCTTAATTATAAGGAAAGTTTATTTCAATTTAAATATTGTTTCAAACAATTGAAGAATAGGAGAGAGAGAGAGAGAGAGAGAGAGAGAGAGAGAGAGAGATGAATATTGCAAATAAAAATAGTATTTACCGTTTCTTCCTTATTCTGGGCCAATGCGACTGAAAGCACGGCCACTGTTTCCGAAATAAACATTTTAATTATTATTATCTTCACAATTGTTTACTTCGTTTGTGTATATCATTGAAAATATTTTTACATTCAAAATATAATTACTATATTTTGATTGTAATTTGTGTTGGCATTCAATTGACGAAAATCAATACATACCTAATAAGAGAAGCAAAGTTAAGGCTCCGATGAATTTCATAGTTTTTGAGGGAACCGTTTCATATACCCTTCATATTGACAACAGTCGACGTTTTGGACAGAGAGGGAGAGACAAACAAACAACTTATTAATTTAAATAGTTTTTCATTTTGAAACTAAATTTATTAAACAATCGATTGATTAGACATATAATTGATAACATAATAATACTTGAAGGAAACGATTGACTAACTTATTGGCATAAATGTTGAATTTATTTATAAGATATGACTTTTGACCAGATTTATGATTAGCCGACACATTTGTATCACTCTTGCGCTCAGACTTGGATATAACGGCTAAAGTCATGTCAAAAACGGTTTAATTAAAATGAGTTCAGCGGTAAGAGAGCGGAGATGTATTGCAATGACATTGTCTGAGCGATTATAGCGTCTGAGAAGACAACACCTCTTACTTAACAGATATAGAGAGAGATCTCAAAAGATTGGCTCAAAAGGGAATTATTATAAGTTTAGAAGAAAAAAGAGCTAATGATTCGGTTGAGGGGTCTTTGCGGCCGATAACCTGAGCCGACCTTCGCTTCAACACAATCAACGCCAACACCGAAACAAACACTTCATGAATATATGGGTGTTTCTCCTCTATTGTCGACGACTCTCTGATCCTATTATGCGCTCAACTCTTATGGCACTTCGTATGTGTCTCTCGTATTATATAATAATAACAATCATATATAATATAATAATGCTTTTTGTAAGCGATTGAGTCGAGTAGTGAAGTCGACGAGAAATGGGGCGAAAAAAGCGATTGTCATTAATTTAGGCCATTGAACATAAAAGCTGATCAACGACTCCAACGCTACAAATGGCTCACAAACTCATAACATGTCATATCAGACTCTATGCCCACACTATTCCATACCATAATATACCTCTTCTATAGCCCCGTATGCCGTATATAATGTATATAATATACCAATGGATGCGCTCTTCGTATCGGATGGCGAGCGATGCGAACAAGTGATGATTGACTGAACACTCTTCAGAAATTAGTTAAACTCTTCTAATAAAGTGAAAAAAATAAATGCCAAAACATATGACACAAACAATTCAATAATACACCGCACAATACACGGCACGTTTGTTTAGCCTCGGCTGCCGTGTGTGTTAGGATAAAACCAAAAACACCCCCAAAAAACTATTAGGGGTAAACAAAAATGCAGTTATGATATGACACCAGAAAATGCTTTCCACGCCAAAGGCTCCGTAAATGAAATATTATTTAAACCTTTTGATTGTTCCCAAAGAATGTCATTAAAGAAAATGTTATTATCGAGAAATACAATAACTTTTACAATCAAAAGGTTTTTACTTTTTCTTTAGAATTACTTTTATATTATGAGCGAAAAAGAGTGAGAAAATCACGAAAAATGAAAATTTTGTTTGGATTACAATAACAATAAGACAATTATCATGAAAAACATTGTGAGCTAATTATGTTTATATCGTATTATTTTAAACATATATTTTTTAAAACATATTAAAATAAATTGAAAAATTAATGAATATTTAACGGATTAAATGATTAATAAATTTACGACTCGTTTTAAAACTAAAATAAATGTTTCTTAAAGTTTTCTCAAATTAACTCACGAGAAATGATAAGCATTTTTAATATTAATAAATCCATAAGTGATTAATACAGTTATATAAAGAGAGGTTATCTAACCCTAAATCAAGTGTTTAGTATAGCAAATGACTTACACTGATGTGAACGCCTTTTCGATATACAGTTTGTTGTCTTTCAACTGATTTAACATCTTTTCGTTATATAACACTTAAGACAAGTTTTTCGTTACTCGTATTTATATATGTTATGAGACTTAATATAAATTTTATTATTATTTCGCAAATTTAATTATTGCTTTCGAAAGACAATTCTTCGTAATTAAAGTGTTTTTTTGGAGACAACGAAAAAACAAAATAAAACTTCAATTCAATTAGAAAGCAATCAAAGAAATTAATTTTCTTCGTTAAAGCGGAACAACAATTTCTAACGAATAAATCGCATAAAAAATCCACAATTTTTCACGAAATCTGTAATTACAGGCAGAAAAGGCAAAAGTGTTGTCTATTAAGTCTTTAACGTAACCTCTTTTCCGATATAATAACCATAAGAGAGAGTAATCGACGAAACGTTTATTAATTTCAAACCGGAAGAAGAGATCGACTCTACAATTGTTTTTCTTCTTTTGCAAAATTGTTTTCGTTGTCTTCGTTTCGCTTCACTTCCTATTCAATAGTTTAATACTATATTTGACTTAAATTCTGCTCTTCTTCTGTCGATATTGTGATTGAAATTATCGGCAATTTTTCGCACAAATTATTTGTTTCAAAGCGTCGACAAAACGTGTAATTGGTTTGCCTTTTGGGTACCGATTAGTGAGTATAGGAAGCACTGGGAAAATAGGCGATTCACAACTCAAATGACAACTTGTAATCGTTGAGACATTATTTCATATTAAAAATCCGTTTGCATATGAGATTCACCACAACATTAACAGCACTTCTTTGAGCGCCAATTATCTTATGGACGAGATTTTTCAAAAGCCATAAACGGATGATATGTACGAGTGTTTCGTGTTATCCATATTACATACAGACAGGTATTCTTGTGTTGATTGCATTGAAATGAGCGCATAATAATAATCTCGACACAAAATCTTCAGCGTTTGAGAGGACAGACACTTCTCAGCAACAAAAATCTCAACGCGTTTTATATTATTATATGATATTTAAATTGCATTTAAAAAACAACAACAAAACAAAATACAGAGAGAAATATTCTGGTGTAACGATTTCCACATAAAAATAATATTACATTATATTATATTTTGAACTCAATTTTTCTTTTTACTCATGAAATTAAGCTCTTTTGGGAAAAATTATAAATTGTTTTTCTTTAGTTTTCTCTTTAATTAAACGTTAAATATTTAAATGAGAATAAAAGTCTAATAAATCCTTGGAAATCAAGCAATCAAATCATAATTCAAGTATAAGAATATGTAATCAATGACAACCAGAATTATAATAATAATCATAAATTATTCATAAAATATCAAATCAAACCAATACAATGATGGTAAAAATTGCGGAGACATACCTGACTACTCTATATACAACAGCCTTAACGGCCTTAAGCTTCGGTTCTTCAGTTTGTTGTTTCTTTTGATCCACAGCTGAAGACTTAGTGAACTCCTTCTTAATAGAGATAGGCTTTGAATCAATGGATTGATTGACTCGTGTTTTACTGCAATCGCAAGTCTTAATATAGATGTTGCGGGTGTCTGAACACTGAGCACAATGAGCTCCAGCCATCATACCATCGCTTTTTATAACACACTGTTTTCCACCTAAACTCATGACTCCTATCGCCGATATATTTTCATATCCAGCCCTCGAGAGCTATAACCACCTGAGCTTTTTTGGTCTCTATCGCCACCACTACTGCTATTAACGGTATTATTAACTGTTGGCTGCTTTACGTCGACGTCAACTCCGAAAGACGTCGAACCTGTTCTCCAATCGCATCCATTGGACCGATGGTTCAGTAGCCTAGATATCAACAACAACTCTCTGACATACATACCTGTGCCCAACCATTACATGCATTGCACACAACCGTTTGTAAACAGCAATCCCTGCCAACACTTCCACAACAGGCCGTCCTATTGTGTCCGTCCCGTAAGCGAAGCCACAAAAACACATCGTTTCGCTATCTTTTAATCTTTGAGTCAATATTTTTTGTTTCTTTTCTTTTTCTCTCTTTCTTTCTCTCTTTTCAACTCTAAAAAAGGAAAACAAAATGAAAAAACTTTTTTTAGAAATAAAAACTGCATTTAATACTCAATTAGAGTTTATTGAACCTCTTGTTAATAAGAGATATTTGTTATTTGAAAAACGTTTTCTCTCTTATGTTATACAAGAAAATGTGTATTAAATAAAGATTTCTAAAAAGTATAGTTTTGTGCCAATCCTACCAAATCCTATTGTTGTCAATTCAAAGCCCTTTTTCATGTGTTTGCTATAAAACCATTAATTAAGTAATCCGTTAAAAGAAAAAATTATAATATCATTGTTTGTCAAACAATTAATTATTGTTATTATTTAACATAATATAGATTTTGCCGTCTATTTCTATTAAAGTATATTATTAGTTATAAAACTTTATTTTAGGACATTTTTATAAAGAAATACTCTATAATTGAATTTAAATGTTAGTTAAATAAGGGAAAAGTTTTTTTTAATAATTTTTTGTAATTGTAATAATAAATTTTTTTTATAATTTCAAACTCATAATAACGCACATAATGTATAATATTTTATAATTTATTTTGTATTTGCTTTTTTATTGTATGAAAAATTATTAAACTTATGGCATAAATAATGATTGTTTTATTATATTGTTTGGCCAAAACGCAAGCCAATGATACCATAAAACTCTTACAGTTATGTAATAAATAAATAGTGAAACAAACCAAACAAACAGAAAAATAACTATATTTTGTGACCGAAACCGTTGGGCTAAACAGTAATTCCCGATTCACTTCTCTATGAGATTTTGTTTTGTGTATTCAATTCACAGCCATATCTTTCTATATATTTAATTGAAAATCATTATGAAATCAGGTCTTAAGATAGCGAAACAATTTGAAAATTATACACTGTTTGTTGGTTTTTGTTTTTATAAATAACTGCATTTATTTGATTTGAATGTCTGATAAACTTTCAATTCAGCGCTCATTCATTACCAGAAAAAAAGATTTTTGTCTATTCATTGAATACTATTTACTCGCATATAATGTATTGAATTTTCAATGAAATTAATTAAGTTTGTGAAGAAATAATAGACGCGATAACACCGTATGAGACAACCACTTGTATTGGGAGTAAAATACCAATTGTTTTTAGACATGAATTGTCCTCTTTTACTTCATTTACAATTTATGGTAATCGTTGTACTTATCGATAAACATCTCTCTCTCTCTCTCTCTCTCTCTCTCCTCAGTTAATCTTATTTCATAAATTATAATCAATTTAGTATTTGAAAAGAAATTATTTACAAATATACACTTGTGTTAAACAACACAAACACTCATTAGAAATTAGTTTTGGCTTTTTATTATTATTCAAATTCATAACTCATAAATCAATTCCAGTAGTCATTGAAATAATACAAAAATAATTTATTTCAAAGGTATAGAAAGGAGGGAATAAACAACAAAATAATAATAGATTTGCAAATATTTTCTACACTTATTTTGAAGCGAAAAAAGTAAAAATTGTTGAGAAAATATATGTCATATGAAGTCGATATATAAAAGTGGTATTTATTCAGTTGTAAATAAACTGTTGTTTTTTAAAGTATATAATTTTTATGCGAAAACAAAATACTATTTTTGTATACATTATTATAATAAATTCAAAGAGAAAATAGTAGTTATTCTCACCTACAATAAAGTGTGAGATATTCTTACCGTAATTATTATTATTGTTATTATATTTATAGAAAATTGTTGTCTTAAGGAAGTATGAAAAAAGTTTGAAAACAATTTGTTTTCAATTGTTTTGATGAGAGAGAGAGAGAGAGAGAGAGAGAGAGAGAGAGAGTCGTTAAATATCAATTATTAATATAAGGTTAATAAATTTTTAATCGATTTACAAGTTAAATATAAAAACTGATTATTAAAACTAATATAAAACTATAAATAATAAAATAATGAATATATTAATAGCAAAATATTGTCAAATAATGGGATGGTTTGTATTGTGTGCTTATATTCTAGTTATTTGTGTCTAATAATAGTTAATACAATTTTTATAATATTTTTAAAACTTATAAACTCAATGAAGAACTATCATTAAAATAAATTAATGAATGCAAACATATGTATAGAATTATATATTGTATAAAATATAACGGATTATATAATTAGAGAAAAGGCTTTTATTAAGTAATTGTATTATAAATGAAAGGATGAGAGAGAAACCGATTGAATCTTTTTTGATCATATTTCAAACCGCAATAATTTTCTCTCATAATTATATTGAATTCTCTCATTATTGTTATGGTTTTTGTTAACACACAATACCTTATGCCTAAATCACACAACACTTAACCCATAGCCAGCGTCGGACAGGTGTCCCAAAAATAGAGTCAAACATCAGCCATATATGGGTCGACCATTTGGTGATTGGGAACCAGTCGTCATCACTTGTTGTATAGATTGTCCTCAATCTTAAGTTTATGCCATCAATGATACCAATTGGACATCAAATACAAGTGTATATATTTTGTAAATATATAATAACCAGTCGTTCAATTTAATAGTAAAGTAGTGTTTATCAGTCGTATAAAAACAGGTATTAATTAGTTATTAATCCCATAAAAAGAAAGTTCATTACTATTTCTTATTTATTGATTTTTTTCTTCAAAACACTTAAAAACGTGTTTAAAGGCTTTGAAGACTCGATTTCGATATGACTTAGAAATTAATATTTTTTGTTTGAATACCTATTGATATACAGAAATATTGAACACATTTTGGGATTATAGAGGATAATAATCCTGTAGATTGAATGATTGATCATTTTCTTATTTGTTAAAAAATTCAATAAATATGAAATAGTAATGAACTTTCTTTTTATGGGATTAATAACTAATTAATACCTGTTTTTATACGACTGATAAACACTACTTTACTATTAAATTGAACGACTGGTTATTATATATTTACAAAATATATACACTTGTATTTGATGTCCAATTGGTATCATTGATGGCATAAACTTAAGACTGAGGACAATCTATACAACAAGTGATGACGACTGGTTCCCAATCACCAAATGGTCGACCCATATATGGCTAATGTTTGACTCTATTTTTGGGACACCTGTCCGACGCTGGCTATGGGTTAAGTGTTGTGTGATTTAGGCATAAGGTATTGTGTGTTAACAAAAACCATAACAATAATGAGAGAATTCAATATAATTATGAGAGAAAATTATTGCGGTTTGAAATATGATCAAAAAAGATTCAATCGGTTTCTCTCTCATCCTTTCATTTATAATACAATTACTTAATAAAAGCCTTTTCTCTAATTATATAATCCGTTATATTTTATACAATATATAATTCTATACATATGTTTGCATTCATTAATTTATTTTAATGATAGTTCTTCATTGAGTTTATAAGTTTTAAAAATATTATAAAAATTGTATTAACTATTATTAGACACAAATAACTAGAATATAAGCACACAATACAAACCATCCCATTATTTGACAATATTTTGCTATTAATATAT